ACCTCCCAGGCTCAGGTGGTCCTCCCATCTCAACTTCCTGAGTAACTGGGACTGCAGGCTCATACCACAATGCCCAGTTAGTGTTTTTGTAGAGATGGGGTTTCGCTATGTTGCCCAGGCTGGTCTCGAACTCCTGGGCTCAAGCAATCTGTCCATCTCAGCCTCCCAAAGTGCTGGGATTACAAGCATGAGCCACCGTGCCTGGCTGTATCTTTATATGTGATTTATAATCAGGTAGGAGAACATAGAATTCTTTAAAATGACAGATTTGATGTTAACATAACTACTGCTAAGTGGATCTAGATCTAACACCCACTTCTTATTCTGTTCCTGATGATAAAACACTTAGGAAAGACAAGACATTTGAAGTTAAGACTGTCAGTTTACTTTGCCTCTGCCTCTATCCTACAATTTCTTCGGAGGAGCAGTTGGCTGTAAATGCAAGAGACTTGTTTTAAATTGAGTACAAGAAATAACTATTTTAGTAAAGTTGCCTGAAGACCTGCTCATCAGTGGAATAAAACGGGAAGGGGAGAATTCTGATAAGCTCTTTCAGCACGAGTACGTTGGAATGTCTCATCCCTCTGTCAGTTGCTTTGGCTTGAGCTTCTGATTCAGAGAGCAAGAAAGAGTGAGACTAAGGAGGGAATTCACAGAGAAGCTCAGAGCTGAGCCAATCTGCGGCTGTGGAGGAGGAGGAGCTTTCAAAGTTTGCTGGTTCCAAGCTTTTTGCTGTTACTTAAATTTAAAGCTGGAAGGGAGGGTCAAAAACCAGGAAAGAAAACCGTATCAAGATAACAGGTCATGATATTCTTTCTCATCCTCACAGAAAAGAATTCACAAGAGACTTGAGGAAGCTTTTTTATTTTTATTTTTATTTTGTTTATTTATTTATTTTGAGATGGAGTCTTACCCTATTGCCCAGGCTGGTCTCAAACTCCTGGGGTCAAGTGATCTGCCCACCTCGGCCTCCCAAATTGCTGTGATTACAGAAGCATAAGCCACCATATCTGGCTAATTTTTTTGTTTTTGTTTTTGTTTTTTGAGACAGGGTTTGTTCTGGAGGGCAGTGGCATGTTCACAGCTTACTGCAGCCTCGACCTCCCAACCTCAAGTGATCCTCCCACCTCAGCCTCCTTAGAAGCTAGGACTATAGACACCCACCACCACATCCGGCTAATTTTTGTACTATTTGTAGAGATGAGGTTTTACCATGTTTCTCAGGCTGGTCCCAAACTCCTGGGTTCAAGCAATTTGAGGAAATTTTAAATTAGGCTTTAAAAATATATATTTGAGGCCGGGCGCGGTGGCTCAAGCCTGTAATCCCAGCACTTTGGGAGGCCGAGGCGGGTGGATCACGAGGTCAACAGATCGAGACCATCCTGGTCAACATGGTGAAACCCCGTCTCTACTAAAAATACTAAAAATCAGCTGGGCATGGTGGCATGTGCCTGTAATCCCAGCTACTCAGGAGGCTGAGGCAGGAGAATTGCTTGAACCCAGGAGGCGGAGGTTGCGGTGAGCCGAGATGGCGCCATTGCACTCCAGCCTGGGTAACAAGAGTGAAACTCCGTCTCAAAAAAAAAAAATTTATATATATATATATTTGAAATTGAATGACATAAGTGTTGACACTAGTCTGGGAATTAGGCAAATACGATTTGTGTGTTAGCTCTGGTGTGAACCAGAGAACCCTGTAACCTCCCTGGGACTGGGTTTCCTCCTCTGTATAGCGAGCCTCCCTGTGCTTCCCTTTGGGAGACGAGAATCACAGCCCCAACATGTTTTCCTCTCCCCTTCGGCTGCCAGGAAACCCAAGAGTCAAATTCAAGGCTTTATTGAAGGAACTCTGCAGGACTAGGACTTGATATCTTGATACTGTTTCCTGGTTTTTGAGTTTCTGTTCCAGCTTTCATTTTCGCTGGATTGTAGTATTTTACTATTTTTCATATTTAGTATGTAGTGCACATTTTTACACTACACTTCTAATCCTTTGTGTAATGAGCATGGTAGAAATAAATGGTGAAGGCCGGGCGTGGTGGCTCAAGCCTGTAATCCCAGCACTTTGGGAGGCCGAGGCGGGTGGATCATGAGGTCAAGAGATCAAGACCATCCTGGTCAACATGGTGAAACCCCGTCTCTACTAAAAATACAAAAAAATTAGCTGGGCATGGTGGCTCATGACTGTAATCCCAGCTACTCAGGAGGCTGAGGCAGGAGAATTGCCTGAACCCAGGAGGCGGAGGTTGTGGTGAGCCGAGATCGTGCTATTGCACTCCAGCCTGGGTAACAAGAGTGAAACTCCGTCTCAAAAAAAAAAAAAAAAAAAAAGAAATACCTGTCTGGGATGGGGCGCAATAATCTGCAGCTGTATTAAGAAATGCAAGTAGTTTTAATGTGGGTGGTTTCAAGACACACTTGGAAAATGTGAGGGAAATGTGTATGTGCATTTGCTGGGGAAGGGAGGGGACTGGGGAAAGGTAGCTAATCTGTTTATTCCTAATGCTCATCTCAACTTTGTATTGTGCCGAGTACCTTGATAAGGGATGGGTTATTTTATGAGTGTTAATATATAAATTCATAGTATGCATTAGATCTTGTATATTTAGAGGCATACTCCTACTTTGAGTAAGTGGAAAGCTTTAGAGATATACACTAAATAAACATTAGTTACTAAGCAGTTATTCATTTAAAAAATTCTCTCCTCATTTCACCAAAGGATCCACTATGGCTTCCATTAAATGTCTATTTATGATTTGTTTTGACAAAGACTTTTCCAAGAACACCTCTGCTCTGTAAAGCAGAAGAGCTCTATAGATGTCCTAGAGTTGCTTGGTGTAGATTTGGTTCTGATTGGTGCCACGAAGTCCAGTAACAAGCTGGAGGCACACATTCCAAAGCCAGTGATAAGAGTTTGAGTAGTGATCATCTAGTCCTGAACATAAAGGCTGGAGCCTTCTGGAATCCATAAAAATTGGATGAGTTGTTCCTTTCCCCTCTACCCAAGTTTTATTTATACGTGGCTATAAATAGCTTCTGTTTTGAGTTTTCACTGGTCAAACTCTGCTGTTTTAGTGCCATCCTGCTAGCTTCCTTGAACAAGGTGATGCCACCTAACATTTTTTTTTTCAGACTTCCAGGACAGTGATCGGGTGGACTCTTCTATGCCACACTGGGAGGTCTGAAGATGTAGGCTTTAGGGCAGCCCCTCTGGGAAGGGGTGGCAGGTTGAGGAGCCTACTGATCCTTTCTATCAGGGATGGATTTGCTTTCTGTGGGTGTCACCTTCAAGGGCCTGTGTTTCCACTCATCACAGGAGCTCACATTTACTGAGTGGGGCCAGAGTGTTTATACACCGTGATGTTGCACCTCACCATAACCTCTGTGGTGGGCACTAACATTACCACCATTTTGCAGATGAGAACATGGAGGCTTGCAGAAGTGGTAAGTTGCCCTGGGTTCCATGCTGAATCAGAGGTCAAACTCAGCACACAGCACAGGACCAGGTCAGCTGGCTCCCGAGCTCACCTCTGTACCTACAAGTCTGGACCACCTCACAGCAGAGTCAACAAGCTGGCCTGGCATGTGAAGAAGCAAGCCTGAGTGTCTCCTGGCTGCCAGTGTCGTGCCTGCCTGGGACCCCAATTCACAGTTTGATTCTGGTCCTCTTGCCCTCTGTCCCTCACCAGAACCCTGATATTTCCAAATGAAAACACCAGCATAGCTTATTTCCACAACTCACCTGGGCCCAGCAATCAAAATCTATAGCTACAGGGCAGTGTTGCGTTGATTATGAGTTATGTAGGTCCAAATGAGTAGCTTGCTTGATTTAACCAGGTAATTCATGCCATACTTTTCTCTTTGGAAAGACCTGGACCAACAATAACCTCTGCTAAACACTTTTTCTTTTTTAAATTTGCAGGTACTTTTCTGGGGCTGCCTTTGGCTCCCTGTCTGTTGAGAGTCTGTTTTCCTTACAGTCCACCTATCTGGGTTGATTTGTCTCATTCGGGAATGAGAAGTTTTATTTTAATGCATGAAGTAATAGTGTTGAGTGGCCAACAAGTGTGAAGTTTGAAAAGCTCAAGTGAAAAAAGAAAGTGTGGTAGAAACACAGGGTTGGAGGCCGGGTGCAGTGTCTCACACCTGTAATCCCAGCCCTTTGGGAGGCCAAGACAGGAGGTCCCTTGAGCTCAGGAGTTTGAGACCCCTGGGCAACATGGCAAGACCCCATCTCTACAGAAAAATATAAAAATCATCCAGGTGTGATGGCCTGTACTTGTAATCCCAGATACTTGGGAGGCTGAGATGGGAAGATTGTTTGAACCCAGGGGGTTGAGGCTGCAGTGAGCTGTGATTGAGACTCTATCTCCAAAAAAAAAAAAAAAAAAAAAAGCAGCAGCAGAAGAACACAAGGTTGGAATTTGAGGGGGCCTATTAAATAGGATGCTCTTTCCTGCCTTAGTTTTGAATTGAGAAGATAAAATAATAAGGCATGGAAATTACAGCATCCCCTTTCTTATTGATAAAGCAGATCTTGGAGAATGGAAGGCTCTAAGTGGGGTTCCTGGTGCTGCCCTTCAACCTCAGGCTGAGGCTCCCCTTGTCCTCAAGGAATGGGCACTGCTGGCCTGAGGTGGAGCCTCCTCAGGCTCAGTTCGTCCTTGGAAGGCTTAGGACATGGAGGAGCTGGTCCAGGCTAAGAGGGAGGGGCGGGGCTACTCTGCAGGGGTTGTTTTTCCAGTTTCTCCAATCAGATGAGCCACACTGTCACGCTAGTGTTGAAAGGAGGGAAGGGACAGAGGTGGCCAGGAGTGTGACCCTCAAAGAGGCAGAGGAAATCTCGGAGAAAGGGAGGAAGCATTCTCCTAACCAGAGGGAGAAGGATAGAGGCTTCAGTTTTCCCTCTCTGAGAATTCGTTTGAGATTTGCATTTAGTGTCTATAAACATGTCAGCAGATATATAAACTTATTTGCTTCTGTTCTCTTTTCGTTTTTAGATTCTTGAGTATCAGAACACCACCTTCTTTGGTGGACCCTGTATATCCATGATTGATTACCTCCTCTGGCCCTGGTTTGAGCGGCTGGATGTGTATGGGATAGCGGAGTAAGACATTTGACCTTGCGGTGGTAAATTCCCAGAGTCACACTGAGTAACAATGGTTAAGATGGTCTGTGGGCCCCCTGTAGACATGTTTCAGAGTGTCTGTGAAGTGAATCAGGTTTCTAAACCACAGTATGTGCTTCCTTGTTAAAAACACGTATGCTTTTCCATTGTTAACTTCAGACCCACACTTTACCTGCATTTCTGCAGATAAGACCCCCTAGTCCAGGAGCCTCTCACAGACTTCAGAGCCTGCTGTCCTCACCAGCGCCCCCACACAGCTGGTGTGAGAGTAGGTGGAGAGTCACTGTCACGGTGCCCAATGCTTCCACCTGGTCCTGCTGGGTTCCCAGTGGACACCGTATACCTTAGTTGTGTCTCATTACCCAGAGGAATCTTCCCCCAGATAGAAATAACCTTATAAAAAAGATGTGTATAGTAATATATGCTTGGTGTTGGAACATACAAACACAAAGGCAATGACACACTATGGAAGTGCAGGGACATTAAAGCAGAAGAAATAGCTGTGTAGGGTCCTGGGCAGAACAGTGCTCTGTTACTTCAAAGCTCAGAGAAGTTGAATGTGTGCGGATGCCCACCCTGATCCAAGCCACCCTCATGGTGGGTGCTAGACATTTCTGGTGCTTGGAAATCTGGCCCTGCTGAAGCAGAACTGTGTCTGCACCTTCATAACTGGAGCCCACCCAGGCACTGTCTCCTGCACATCCGACTTCAGCTCTCTTTGAAGGAGATCAGATATGACATGTCAGGATATTTTAAGCTCAATCTCAAACATAAAATGTACAAAAGGCTGTATCCTCTGAAGACAGAGCATGGAACCATGGGTCAGGAAGCCTTCTAGTCCGGGATTTCCCACACCCCACTCGTATTATCTTCAGCTTGTCGCTTTATAAACCCCAGACCTAAATGTCCTGGTCGATCTTTGAAAGGGCCCTGTCAGCTCTGTGACTTCAAGTTTCATCATTGTTTTATTCATTTAAAAAATGTTTTGGAAATATTTGTCTTTTTTTTTTCTTTTCTCTATCTCCTAAAGTAAACTCTGAGAATGACCCAAGAATGTTTGTTTTAGAAGGTTGTCTTTTTGTTGGCAAACAGTGAAGCACATGTAGGTTTCTCAAGCTTTAAAAATATGTATATAAAAAACAACAAAACCCCAAAAAACCCAGTGAAGCACAGACATGTTATTTTTCCAATGTATTTCACTGTATTATTAGAAGCAACAATAACTTCTAATACATTCAGCTATTCAAAAAAGATTTTCCTCCAGGAAGTTATCATTCTCATTTGATAATAAGGTAACTCCCCAAAATAAACCCATTTTTCATATTTCACAAATCTAAAAAGCAACATGCATCCCCTTTCCCGATGCCTCCCCCAGCGCTGTGCTGACGCTTCTTTCCTGTCTTGCAGCTGCCTGAGCCACACACCAGCCCTGCGGCTCTGGATATCAGCCATGAAGCGGGACCCCACAGTCTGTGCTCTTCTCACGGATAAGTGCATTTTCCATGGTTTCTTGAATCTCTATTTTCAGAACAACCCTGATGCCTTTGACTTTGGGCTGGACTGAGCCTCACAGTCCACCCCTTCACCGTCCAGAATTCCCCAGCTTGTTGGGAGTCTACATCACGGATTGTCTTGGGAATCAATCTGTCTCTCTTTTAAGTTCCCAATAAAATGAAAACAGGAAATGTATTCTTTCCATAATAATGTATCTGACTCCTCTAGCCCATAGCTGCTGCTGCCGCTGCTTTTTTTTTTTTTTTTTTTTTTTTTGAGACAAGGTCTTGCTTTGTTACCTAGGCTGGAGTGCAGTGGGACAGTCATGGCTCACTGCAGCCTTGAACTCCTGAGTTCAATTGATTCGCCCACCTCAGCCTTCTGAGAAGCTAAGATTACAGGCACGCATCACCATGCTGAGTTAATTTTTTTTTTAGTTGTTGAGACAGGGTGTCACTATGTTGCTCTGGCTGGTCTCCAACTCCTGGCTGCAAGTCATCCAACGAACTTGGTCTCCCAAAGTGTTGAGATTACAGGCGTGAGCCATGTGGCCTGCTTAGCCTGTAGCGTCTAACTATTCTCTAGAAAGTACCTGGTGCTAATGTCAGAGCACATTTTGGGAGCCTGTGTACCTCCTAACTCCTTGGCCTTCAGCCCAGTTTGATCTCTAGATTATTGGTGCAGAAGCTGATGCTGAGGTTCAGGGTCAACCTGTGATTGATGCTTTTCTCTACAGATTGACACCCTGCAAAAACCTCCCTGGTAAAAGCTTAAGAAGAGTGAGAAGGAAGAAGAAAACACTCCAAGCCCAAATACCTTCCATTTGGCAAATGAATGCTGCTGTCCACAAGGGTGAGAATGAGTATAATTCTCCAAACTTTGGCCATGGGCCTGGAGACACCGAAGTTCTTGTGACTGGAAAAAATTCCAAGGCAGGAAATGAAACACCGATTTATCACCCAGGACTAACTACGTCAGAATTTCACTGGTGCTGTCAGGGCTCAGGATGTCTCACAAAATGTTCTATGGCCAGCATCCTGCCTTAAAAAAATACACACGCCCCAAACCCAGCCACAAGCAAAGGTCATTCCATTGGATTTGTGTCACACTCTCTTCCAAGTCAACAAATGCTTCTGGTTACCTGTTGTGTACCAAGCCCAGGGGCACGTCGGGGATAAAGTTGAAAAAGACACTGGCTCTGTCCCTGGGAGCCCCCATCTCTCCACTTATCTTGGTTGAGGTTTTAAACCCAGTGCTTTGGAGCTGCTTATCTGGTATTGGGGTGCTTGTCTCCGGATGTGGCCCCCCTGTCACCTTGGCTGAAGACAGCACCCCGCTGAAGACAGCAAAGAGCTGAGGATGGCTGGTGCCGACAGGTGCCTTGGGCTGGGAGCATCTACTGCCTGCACTACGGGAGGGGGACCAAGTTTGTCCACTGCCTTTTCGTCTCAGTGTCTGAGGATCAGCCTGTGATCATTTCAGCTTTGCTCGCGCTGAATCCTTTCCCCTCCTTCTAGCTGTGCTGAGACACCAGGCAGCAACAGGAGCGATGTTTTGCCTTGTCTGCGCCCCCTGAGGAGCTGTCTGCCGCCTCTGCCTCTGAGACAGCCCAAACCGGCCCTCTCTCCCCACATCTCAGCCTGGCCCTGCCATCTGCTGGCTCTGGGTGTATTTTGACCCATGTAAATAGTTACCAGGTGTTACTCTGTGCCAGCTGGGCAGAAGCAAGCCTGCTTGGTGAGATGGCCAGACCTTCCAGAAGAGGCACCGCATGACGGCGGCAGTCTGCCGTACCATCTGCTCCGGATGTGGAGCGCTGTTGCCATGGCACCCAAGTTAATGCTGAGTGAGGTCTGTGAATCACTGTTTCCTTGGGATCTTTGCTCAAGAAGAGAGGAATCTTCTCCTGTGGACTCTCATACGACTTAGGGGATTGATCAGTCTTTTGCCGGAACAAATCCTGCGTGCTAGTGAGTGCTTGGCTTAGGACCAAAGTTACTACTGATGCAACAGGAAATGGCGTGTCTGGCTCATTAAAATGAAGGTGTTCTCTTTTGGGGCTCCACACACTAATTTAGAAAGCTTGAAGAGCCAGGAGTTATAGAATGGAGAACAGCACTCATGGGGGAAGTTTGCAGCCTGGCGGCCTATAGCCCCGTTTGGGATTTGAGTGCCTCTTGGCCAGGCATGCTCCCTGCAGTTTACCAGGGTCTTGGTCACCTGCACGTCCTTACACTTCCTCCATCTCACTTCTGTGTCAATCGTCTGACCCACAGAGAAAACTGAGTTTTGAAAGCTTAATTCCAAAATTAATCTTTGAATAAAACTAGAAGGATGTGGCCTGGAGCAAAGAGGGAAGGAGGTGATGAAATAACACTCCATGAAGAACTTTTAAAATATGCTTCTTAAAAAAATAATACATATGGGAAGATAATACATATGGGCTAAAAATGCAACAATAGAATAGAAAATATTCCATTTTCTTATGTCCCAGAGATAGCCACTTTTAGTAACTGGTGTCTACCTCTTTTTTCTTTTCTTTTAAAGAATAGAGATGGGGTCTCGCTATGTTGACCAGGCTGCTCCCAAACTCCTGGCTTCAAGTGATTCTCCCATCTCAGTTTCCCAAAGTGCTGGGATTATAGGTGTGAGCCACCATATCTGGCAGGTGCCTACATATCTTATAAAAAGCACGAAACTTAAGGATTTAAAGGTGAGGACCTGTATTAGGCCATTCCCATGCTGCTATAAAGAAGTGCCCGAGACTGGGTAATTTATAAAGGAAAGAGGTTTAATTGACTTACAGTTCCACATGGCTGGGGAGGCCTCAGGAAACTTCCAATCATGGTGGAAGGGGAAGCAAACACGTCCTTCTGCACGGGGTGGCAGGAGAGAGAAGTGCAGAGCCAAGGAGGAAAAAACCCCCTATAAAACCATCAGATCTCATGAGAACTCATTCACTATCATGAGAACAGCATGGGGAAACTACTCCCACCATCTAATCACCTCCCTCGAGGTCCCTTCCCCAACATGTGGGGATTATAATTCAGATTAAAATTCAAGTTGAGATTTTGGGTGGCGCACAGCCAAACCATATCAGAGACACTTTCTATCTTTTGCAGATTGGAGAAAGGAAAAAATTAGTTTAAACCACAGCATTTAAAAGAACTCATTGTCGCCTCTTTCCTCCATCTTTCTGTGCCTCCACAATGGTGTGCATGAATGTCCTGGCTGATGTTCTCAAGAGCATCAGCAACGCCGAAAAGAGAGGCAAACGCCAGGTGCTTATTAGGCCGTGTTCCGAAGTCATCTTCCGGTTTCTCGCTGTGATGATGAAGCATGGTTACATTGGTGAATTTGAAATCATTGGCAATCACGGAGCTGGGAAAATTGTTGTGAACCTCACAGGCAGGCTAAACAAGTGTGGTGTGATCAGCCCCAGATGTGATGTGCAACTCAAAGATCTAGAAAAATGGCAGAATAATCTGCTTCCATTCCGCCAGTTTGGTTTCATCGTATTGACAACCTCAGCTGGCATCATGGACCATGAAGAAGCAAGACTAAAACACACAGGTGATGTCAACATCAGAATGGAGGTTGTGTGACGTTCCCCTCCTTGGAGGTTCTGAGCTACCGCCTAGCCTGGACTGGGTCCAGTTATAATTTAACATGGCTAGTGGGAGGAGGGAGCATGGTGGGGTGGGGCTCGTGTGGCTGGGACAGCTGACTGTGGTCGTGGTGTTAGTGCTGGTCACTAAGTAGTTCTTGAAATTTCTTTTAAATCTAAAATTCTCTGATATGGTTTGGATCTGCGACCCCACCAAATTTTGTGTTGAAATGTAATCCCCAATGCTCATGGGAGGTGACTGGATTAGGAGGGTAGGTTTCTCACGAATGGTCTAGCATCATCCCCTTGGTGCTGTTTTTGTGGGTAGTGAGTGAGTTCTCATGGGATCTGGTTGTTTAAAAGTGTGCAGCATCTCCCCGACCCCTCTTGCTCTGGCTCCCACCGTGGGAGATGCCTCGCTCTCCTTTTGCCTTTCGCCATGATTGGAAGCTTCCTGAGGGCTCTCAGGTTTACAAAAGCTGCATGTTCTCACTTATAAGTGGGAGAAGCTACTATACGTCTCATAGAGCCTATAGAACCATCAGCCAATTAAACCTCTTTTTAAAAAAACGTTTATTTTAAATTCAGGGGTACTTGTGCAGGATGTGTAGGTTCATTACATACGTAAACATATGTCATGGGGGTGTGTTGTACAGATTGCATGTCCATGTGTTATCATTTGGCTCCCACTTATAAGTGAGAACATGCAGCTTTTGTAAACCTCTTTTCTTTGTCAAATACCTAGTCTCGGGTGTTTCTTTTTAGCAGCATGTGAACAGACTAATACAGAAAATTGATTCTGAGGAGTGGGGCATTGCTATAAAGACGCCTGAAAATGTGGAAGTGACTTTGGAACTGGGTAATGGGCAGAGGTTGGAAGAGTGTGGAGGGCTCCAAAGAAGACAGGAAGATGAGGGAACGTTTAGAACTTCCGAGAGACTGGTTGAATAGTTATGACCAAAATGCCAGTAGTGATATGGACAGTGAAGGCCAGGCTGAGGAGGTGATGGAAATGAGGAACTTACTGGGAACTGGAGCAAAGATCACATTTGCTATGCTTTAGCAAAGAACTTGGCCGCATTGTGCCCCTGCCATAGGGATCTGTGGAACTTTGAACTTGAGAGTGATCATTTAGGGTATCTGTTGGAAGAAATTTCTTTTTTTTTTTTTTTGAGACAGAGTCTTGCTTTGTCACCAGGCTGGAGTGCAGTGGCACAATCTCAGCTCACTGCAACCTCTGCCTCCTGGGTTCAAGTGATTCTTCTACCTCAGCCTCCCAAGTAGCTGGGACCACAGGCACATTCCACCACACCTGGCTAATTTTCGTATTTTTAGTAGAGACGGGGTTTCACCATGTTGGCAAGGATGGTCTCAATCTCTTGACCTTGTGATCCGCCCATCTTGGCCTCCCAAAGTGCTGGGATTACAGGTGTGAGCCATCACGTCTGGTCTGTTGGAAGAAATTTCTAAGCAGCAAAGCATTCAAGAGGTGGCCTGGCTGCTTCTAACAATCTATGCTCATATGTGTGAGCAAAGAAATGATGTTAAGTTGGAACTTATATTTACAGGGGAAGCAGAGCAAAGAAGTTTGGAGAATTTGCAGTCAGCCATGTGGTAAAAAAGAAAAGCCCATTTTCAGGGGAGGAATTCAAGCAGGCTGCAGAAATTTGCATAAGTAGAAAGGAGCCAAGTGCTAATAGCCAAGATAATGGGGAAAAGGCCTTGAAGGTATTTCAGAAAACTTTGTGGCAGCCCCTCCATCACAGACTCAGAGGCCTAGGAGGACAGAATGACTTTGAGTATTAAAGTAGATTTAGGCTGGGCGCAGTGGGTCACACCTGTAATCCCAGCACTTTGGGAGGGCAAGGTGGGTGGATCATGAGGTCAGGAGTTCGAGACCAGCCTGGCCAATGTGGTGAAACCAAGTCTCTACTAAAAAATACAAAAAGTAGCCAGGTGTGGTGGTATGCGCCTATAGTCCCAGCTACTCAGGAGGCTGAGGCAGGAGAATTGCTTGAACCTAAGAGGCGGAGGTTGCAGTGAGCCAAGATTGTGCCACTGCACTCCAGCCTGGGTGACAGTGAGATTCCGTCTCAAAATAAGTAAGTAAATAAATAAATAAAGTAGATTTAATCTAAATCATGAAGTACAAGCTAGAGGATTCCCTTCAGTGTTGCAGAGACTGCCTGCATGTAGCTTCCACATTGTTTCTTGGAGCTTTGATGGTGGTGGTGGAAAGGGCAGGTGTTATGTTTCTTGATTTCTCGCCTTCAAGTCTCCTTACCCATATTTCCTTTGTGGGAGTCATTGGCCTTGATGGAGGGAGAAGTGGGTTACTCTGAGTTAGGAACCAAACTTGACTCTCCTGCGGTTTATATCAGCCTAGCTTACTTTGTTATATACAGTCTTCACAAATAACCATATATCCAGCCCAAGGCAGTTCCCATTGAGTAGTCTCCAGTACTCTCCAGTTCCCAGTCATCCGTCCCCCCCGACCCCCGCCAAACACATACACTAAACACTGCCCACCTGGGAGACCCATTTTCCTTTTATCTTCATCTGTGAGTGACTGGAAGGCTGAACATTTGATCTTTTCAAACATTTTGCTCTCATCTGGCCTGTTAGAGCGCTTGAGCCTTTGAAAATGCCGTTTCCTCTACATACTATTCTTCCTCAGAGCAGCCTTCTGTTTTTCTCAACCACTCTTTTCTCACAAAGTTCAGATTAAAGTTCTTCTTTGTGTAAAGAGAAGTGGTATGCCATAGGGTTACAAAGAGGGCTTCAAGGTTAGTCCTGGGTTCAAATCCTGGTTTTGCAACTTAAGTTTCTTAAGTTGCTTCACCTCTATTTGCCTCAGTTTCTTATCTGTAAAATGGGCTGTTGAAGAATGAGGGGCTCATTTATGCATGGGCTTAATACCAGCTGGGTGCAAGTCAGTGCATGGTAGGCAACCTTATTAGGATGAGGCTTCTATTGATGATCATACTTGAACCCTGTGCTCATCCCCCCATCCGTTTGTGGAACTAGATGTCCTACATTGCACATGGCTTGATTCATGGTTTGGAGTTGTTTTCTGGTTGTTTCCTGTGTGCAGATTTAATCTCAACCTGTGATCCCTTGAAAGCTGCTATTTTTGTCCCTCCCCCTCCTCCCTCACACCCAAGGCCAGGTTTAATGCTGTGCATTCTGAAATCTTGCAATGTTGTTGATGATGCAAAATAAATATTCTTTCCCATGTTTCTGAAGCATACTCAGAATCTCACGACTCTACTCTCTGTTAAGAAAAATTATTCACTGACACTTGTCTAAAGCATGTGAAGGAAGACTTATTCATAACCACTGTGATAGGTTTAGGGACCGTTGCAATGAGACTTTTGCAGTGGGGGAGGGAGATTGTGCTCAACTCTGAATACAGGATAAACCAGTGGGTATTTATAGCCAAGGAGTAGAGCGGAGGTCAGTGGACTGAAAATCGCTCAGAGGAAATGTTAGGGATCCTCTAACCGACGTAACAGGATTCTTGCTGAAGACTGGCCAGGATGATGAGACATCACCCGTGGGATGGTGGAGGACAAGGAACTTGATCAGATAGCAAGAATGATCTGATACTGACATGGGGGAGTTCTTGCCAAACTAACTTAGCAAGGTTCTTTGCTAAAGCAATTTTACAAGGACATACACAGATGAACCTAGGAGGCGGTTCGGGAGCCTGACTGAAGTTTGGTCAAGCAGAGAATCTTTGTCTCCTCTCGGAGCAAGTTATCTCTTTCCGAGGGTTAAAATGTGAGGGATTTGAGATGCCTGCAGGCCTGCCGGGTTACCAAGCAGCTTGGAGGCTGAAAGGACACTAAAACACCCTGGTACCTTGCTGCACATGGACAGGATGGTTACACATGTGCTCCAGGGACAAGAACTGTGCAATACTCTGCCCTGCCATTTCCTCCCAAGGATCCCCCATGCCCACAAATCCCCTTGCAGACAGCAAGGTTCTTGGGCCTCCTTTGTCATTAGCAGGCAGCTCCCTCCAGAGGGCGCAGTCCAGCAGCGACAGTCAGCTCCCTGCCATAGAAGCCAATATGAAGAGCCATTTCCAGTCCTGTACTGGGGTTGAGATGGACAAAGCAGTGAAGGTAGTGGTCGCTTACTGATGATGCTGCCCCCAGGGAACCCTGAGTAGGGGTAGTCTCTGTCCCAGCAACACAGGACTGTGGCCGGGGAGTGGGAGGATGACTGTTAGCAGGAACAGCTGTTGCTGGATCTGGGCATACTATTCGGGTTCTGCTCACAGGTGCTCTCAAAGTGTGTGTGTGCACACGTGCCCATGTGCACGTGCAGCACACGCATGCATGTGTTACATGTTTCTGTGCCTTTCTGCCGTAAGAGGAGGGTATCAGGATGAAAAATAAGGAGCTGTATAAAAAATAAGGGCAGGAAGTATTTTAAGTATTTCACTTTAAAATAAATTGTCATTGGCCATTTATTTGCTAAACAGAAAGACCCTGTTTGGGGACTTTATCTGAGACACTGTCCCAGATGATTCGATAGCAGCAGGGAGGTGGAGAGGTGGGGGACACACAGACATCCCAGGTACAGTGGCAGTAGGAGCTGCTTATCCTGAAAGCCAGGGGAAGAGTTAGCTGAGAAAACTCTACAGGAAGCCCTAACTGGAAACTCGGGCTTCAGCCTTGGGTTATGGAGGAGGGAATGTGGGGTAGATTCAGAACAATGGTAAACCTTTCTGTTTACTGAGCACTTACTATATGCTAGGTACTTTATATATAATACTAATATCTCCAAGCCCTATGAAGTAAATACCAATGACTCCCATTTTACAGATCAGTAAACTAAGGCTTAGAGGTGGAGTCATTTACCCAGGTGTTGCCTAGCTAGAGATGAGCAGAGCTGGTGTTTGCTTGCAGAAGGCTGACTCCGGAGCCTGTGCTCTTAACCACTGCCCTGCTCACCCTCCCCGCTGCCAGCACTACTTCACCTCCTGCCCTTGCTGCCTTCCTCTTCTGCTTTCCCTCCTGGACTGGGAGCTCTCTCAAAGTTACATTTGACTTTGTTTTCCTGGTGCTTGGCACACTGCCTTGTGTATAGTAGTGATGAATGACTGAGCAAATGGAAGGAAGGAAAGATGGATGGATGGATGATGTAGAAACCCAGGCCCCTTCCAGGGAGCTCATCATGAGGCCACTATCA